AACACTGCCATGAGCATGCCTCTGATGGAACCACCACAGACTCACGAGACCATTTGGATGGAGTCCCACGGCCACCCACTGAGAGAATCATGGTCCCGTCCCCCTTGCTGCAAGGACCTTGGGTATCCCATGCAGTGTGTGCAGGTCACCACCCTTCCTGCTCTGAGATCCTCTTCTGACTCAGGTGGGTGTCCTTGTTTCACTGACCTTCTGGATGAAAGGTCCCCATTCTACACACGCCAGAGTTCCCTGGCCCTGGTCTCACCTTGCTGTAGAGTTCACAAATGATGACTTGGAGGTTCCCCAAGCCATCAGCAACTCTTCATTGAAAAGCCCAGCAGAGACCCACGCAGGGGGTCTCCCGACCACCATCCTCCCTGCTGCAGAGTCTCTGGACCACCTCTGCAGGGGACCCCAAGATACCACCCTTCTGCTCTGAGGTCACAAACAAAGTCCCCACTCTGAGGTCACAATCCTCCCCACCTTGGTCCAGCAAGGCCCTGCATGGGGCACTGGGGACAAGTGCAGGACCAAGCCTGTGACCCAGCTCGGCTGCAAAGATGGGTGCCTCTGAGTGGAGCTTGGCTGGGCAACAAGTGCTCACTGAGCAAGTGCTCTATCACTCCTCTTCCAAAAGAGGATGGGGGGGGAAGAATAAGGTGAAAGCCTCCATCTGTAAGGCCTCTCACCACCTCACCTCACTGAAACCACCCACATCCTGGAAGCAACAACAGGGATTGTGGATGCGCATCCGTGGTAATGCTGGCACATCAGCTCACCTTCTGCAGCTCCTTCTCTCATGGCACAAAGCAAGCAGGGAAGGGGACAGAACATGCTGCCTAGTAACATGCCCCGTGGACCTCTCCTCTTCACACACTTCCTTCTTTGCATCCACCCATCTACTATGTCCAGTACCGTGAACCACAAACAGCATCTCACAAGCTAAAAAATCATCGGGGAACCTCCAGTTGTCAACTCCCAGTTTCGGGTAGGAAGACCTCAGTACTGTGACAAAAGCTACTGCAAACAGAAGACCGCAGTTGATGGTTTCCCTGCTTGCACGTCAGAACAGCTCTCTTCCACGTTATGCTTGCACCTTTTCACTCTGTTGCCTCAATAAAGCTCTCCTGCATCCCAGCCTATGACCCCTCCTCTTCCTTTCTGCAACTGAAGCTCTTCCAACCTCATGCAGCACAAAGTTAGGGCTCAACAGGCCATCAGTGTGGATGAAAAAGGCCACATGGATTTTCCTGGGAAACAGGTAACCATCACAAATAAAGACTGGCATCTGGGGTGCTTCCACAATGTGACACAAGCCCACCACTGCCTCAAACTAAGTCTTGAGCATAACAACACCCTCCTGAGCATTACGGTGATGATGTCTCCCCAGGCTCATGAGACTACTCATGGAGGGTTCCAAGGCCACCAACACAGGGACTCATGGCCCCATCCCCACATGCTACAAGGACTATGGATAGCCCATGCACTACGGACCTCCTTACTCGGTGGTCCTCATCTGACAGAAGTTTAGGTGTTTGTAGCACTGACCTTCTTGCTGCACGCACCCCATTCCACACACGTCAGAGTCCCCAGGCCATGGTGTCATGCTATGCAGTCCCCAGATGCTGCCTTGAGGGGAAGCTCAGGCCACCAGCTGCTCTTCACTGCAGGCTCCACAGTGGCTCATGAAGGAGGTCTCCTGACCACCATCATCCCTGCTGCAGAGGCTCTGGAGCATCTGCGCAGGAGACCCCAAGCCAACATCCCTCTGCTCTGAGGTCACACAGGGAGAGGCTGCAACACCAGCTAAGGGCCCTAGACAACATTCCCCAAACCACTCAAGTACGTCCTAGAAGCAGAGACACAGATCGTGGATGCACCTCTGGGGCAATTCAGGGACATCCACACACCTTCCGCAGCTCCTTCTCTTAAGGCACAAGGAAAGCAGGGAAAGGGACAGACCAGGCTGCCTGGCAACTCCCAGACTTCCTCCTCGTCTTCAAATTCCTTCTTTGCATCACCCTGTCAGCTATGTCCAGAACTGTGTGCTGAAAACTGCATCTCACTGGCTAAATATCATGAGGGGACCTCCACTGCGCTCCACACCAGGCAAGTCAGGAAGACCTCAAAGCTCTGACAAGCTCTGTGGCAAACAGAAGACCTCAGTGCATGGGCACCCTTCTTGCACCTGAGACAGCTCTCTTCCACATTATGCCTGTACTTTTTCACTCTTTTGCCTCAATAAAGTTCTCCTGCATACAGGTCTCTGACACCTCCTCACCCTTTCTTCTACTAAAGCTGTTCCAGCTTCATTCAGCACAAAGCCAGGGCCCTCCTCTTTGAGACATGGGGGAAGCTTCTTGCATCTTCTAACAGAAACTTCCCACGTGAACCCATCACAAGTACAACCCTACAGCATGAAAAGGCACCACGACACCCATAGAGCTCACCCAACACGAAAGGACAGGCCTACAGACAGGACTACTGACCTTGCAGCAAGTCAGGGAGGAACCTAATGCAATGGAAGGGGCACCCTCTCACAGCCAGCACAGACCCAGGGCTACAAGGACATGGGGCCCCCTCTTCACAACCCAGCCACAAACCACAGCCATGAGTGTCACAGGATGACACCAATGATGACAACCCCACCTCTCCAAAGCTTTTGCTGCATGTTCTGCAAATTGCCCTGACAAGCACCATCAACACCAAGCCTTTGGTCTCTAGTACTTAAAAGCTGCCGCCAGGGCCAGAAGGACACATGCTCAACAGGAGGACATGAACTTCCAGAATTCTTGGAAGGAAAACACAACCACAGGTAATTACCTGCAAGGATCTGACATGCACCAGCTGCTTGCACAAACATGCTGTCATGCACAAAGGCTCTCTCAGCCCCCTCAGGCTCTCCAGGACCAGCATAAAAGCCGGCCCAGAGCCTCTGTCCCTCACTCGCCTCTGCTGACGCCTTCTCCTGCGCGCTCAACAAGGTGAGCCTCAAGCCCCTTGCCCTCTGCTCCTGCCCCCCTGCCCCGGCTCTTCCAGCACGCTCTGCCCCAGCCTCAGCACCCCTCACGCCTCCCCACTTGCTGTGGGGTCACTCCATCACATTGGACCGGTCCTTAAGGATGTGGAACAGGGCTGGCCCCACATACAACTCCTGAGCTACACTACTTGAGACTTGCCCTCAAATGGACTTTGTGCTACTCATCACGAACCGCTGGGCTCAGCCGTTCAACTACGCAGCAGCCCAGTGCACTGGCACCAGACACAAAAGGTACTTTGTCAGCTTGTTGATGAGCATGTGAGGGGTGAAAGGGTCAAAGACTTTACAAAGAAATTCAAGGGAAGCACCAGCCATGGCTGTCTCCTCATCCACAATGATGGGCACTCCCATGGAGAGGAGACAGAGTTCAATCAAGCGTGATTTACCATTTGCAAATATATGCTAGAACTTCATCTCAATTTCTGGTCCTTCCTGGCATTCACAGTCCTTTCTGGGAAGACTTCCTACATCACCTTCCATGGGAACATGATCAGACTCAAGACCTTCTAGTTTCCCAGTTGTGCCTTCCTAGTCTTCTTCAAAAGAAGAGGCCATTCAGCTCTTTCCTCCTGTTCAGGAACCACTTCCAGGCATTATTAACTCTCCTGAAATACATAAGACACACCTCCCAAGAAGAACAGGCAGCTCCCTCAGTATTATTGGTTACCTTCATGCCCCAGGGACTTCCATACATTCAGTCCAAAAGCTCTCCCTCTGACCTCCCTATAATTTCCCCAACCACAAAACAGCTCACCTGACAATCAGCCTGCAAAACACTCACCTTGGATGAACCGGGGCAGGCCTTGCCAGGCATCAACCCATCAGCATGAATCCACCACTAACAGGGCCCAACCTCTGTGGCCATGTAAAGCATCTCTGCATCCAAACCCCTCTTTAATCTCCAAATCAACTTTCACCTGTCAACACTGAGCAGAGAAATGGCGTCACGCAGTGGCACTACCCCAGGCAAAGATCACAAACCTGGTGCACGATTCCGCTGGCAACTGCTCCCTAACACCTCTCCCACTGACATCCTCACAGGCTCTCCAGAACCACAACTGCCTTTGTGAGGTGCCCCACATCTAGCAATGCGTCACACCAGAGTCTGGACTGAAAATGTGCAAAAGCACAAAGGGCACAAGGAGATCCACATTGACGCCCACAGAGCTCACTCAATGGGAAAGGACAGGCCTAAAGACAAGCTAAGGTACTTAGCAACAAGGCAGGGAGGGAACAAATGGTTCGGAAGAGGCAGCCCCTCATGCCACCAAAACTCCAGAGCCCAGACCAGCCCGACAGGGCTGCAATGAACATGGAGCCACCTCTTCACAAGGCACCAAAAACCACAACACACAAGTGCCACCGAATGACCTCAGTGATGACACCCCACGTCTCCAAGGCCATGGCTGTATCTGCAGAACAGCCTGACAGGCATCTTCCATGCAAATCGTCCCAAACACCTACTCTCACTTCAAGGCTGCCGCCAGGGCCAGATGGACACGTCCTCACCAGGAGGACATGCAAAGGGAGCACTGTGGGAAGGAGAACACGCCCCAGCTCATGACTTGCCAGGCTGTGGCACGCACCAGCTGCTTGCTGACAAATGCTGCCATGCGCAAAGGCTGTCCCGCCCCTCGGGGACCAGCATAAAAGCCGGCCCAGAGCCTCTGTCCCTCACTCGCCTCAGCTGACGCCTTCTCCTGCACACTCAACAAGGTGAGCCTCAAGCCCCTTGCCCTCTGCTCCTGCCCCCCTGCCCCGGCTCTTCCAGCACGCTCTGCCCCAGCCTCAGCACCCCTCACGCCTCCCCAGCACCACAGCCCCACACCAGCCTCCCCACTGCCTCGCCCTCCCGCACCACAACCCCTCGCACCCCCACACACGCCGCTCTCCCCACACCCTCTTGTCCATTCCCTCCTCCCCTCTCCTCTCCTCTCCTCTCCTCTCCTCTCCCTTGCCAGGGCCCCTCCACACCACAGACATGGCCTGCTACGACCTCTGCCGCCCCTGCGGACCCACCCCGCTGGCCAACAGCTGCAACGAGCCCTGTGTCAGGCAGTGCGAGGACTCCCGCGTCGTCATCCAGCCTTCCACCGTGCTGGTCACCCTGCCAGGACCCATCCTCAGCTCCTTCCCCCAGAGCACCGCCGTCGGATCCTCCTCATCCGCTGCCGTGGGCAACGTCCTCAGCGCCCAGGGAGTGCCCGTCTCCTCTGGGGGCTTCGGCTACGGCCTTGGCTACGGCTATGGAGGCCTTGGCTGCTATGGCAGAGGAAGGGGATACAACATCTGCTAAGGGCCTTCCCTACAAGATCTGACATGAAATGCTGCAGCCTGGATTCAACACCATTAATTGAGAACACCTGTCGGGGTCAATGCTAGTACATGGGCTTTCTATCACACCTCCTCCTTTCAAGGCATCATGAGAGGAATCTGGGTAGGTTACCAGCCCAGCCTCTCTGAAAACATGGCTCATGGACCTCCTCCTCTTCTCCTACCGCTTTCTTTGTATGACCCCATCAGCTGTGTCCACTACTGTCTGCTGCAACCACCACATCACATGCAAAAAGCTATCAGAGTACCTCCAGTGGGGTGCTCCTAGTGCAGGGCAGGAAGACCTCCATCCTCTGCCAAAATCTGCTGCATTGCAGAGGACCTCGTAAGATTGTCACCCTACTTACACCTAAGGCCCCTTCCCTTGTACACTGTGCTTTTACGTTTTCATTCTTTTGCCTCAATAAAATTATCCTGAATTCCACTTAGTGACTCCTCCTCTTCCTTTCTTCTACCAAGGCCCTTACAACTTGACATGGCACAAAGCAATAGCTCAACGCGTCATTGGGGTGGATGAAGAAGTGCCACAAGGCCTCTCCTAGTAAATGAGCCAGCACAACCAGCAACAGGACAGACTGCTAGCTGGGGGCTTCCAGAAGTGACCTAAGCCCACCCCTCACCCAGGCTCAAACAAAGGATACACGTTTGCAAAGATTCCTTGTGCATGCCTCTGATAAAACCTCCCTGCATCACCACACAATTGACCAACTCTCCTACCCAGCATGGGTCTCCAGCCCTCCCAGCAATCAGAACCACAGAATCATGTAGTTTGGCAGGACCTATGTGATTTGGAGAGAAGCCGCTTCAACTTCCCCTATCAAGCAGGGCCAGCCACAGCAGCATGTCCAGGACAATAGCCGTTTGGGTATTCGGCAACCCCCAGCATGAAGATTCCACAATGTCTTCCACTCTTCGACCATGCTCACACTGAAAAAAGATTGCCTTCATTGCCCATGAAATTCCATCTCTTTTCCCTTGTGCCCACATCCTCTTGTCCCACCACTGGTCACAAGCCTCAGGGCTCAGCACTTCAGCCACTGCCTTCCAGCCTCCTCACCGGCCCCATCACAATCCATACTTTCCTGCCTTGCTTCTCTAGGAGCACGTAATGGGAGACAGTGACAGAGGCTTCCTTCAAGTACAGCTCAACAATAGACACTGCTCTAAACTTGGCCAACACCCTGTTGTTGGCAACAACAGGGAAGACACAGAGGTTGGTCAAGGACAATTTCCATTCCCAAAATCCACACCTAAAACCACAGCCCGTCACCCTGACCTTGCTGGCCATGGCAGTGCTTTCCAGGAAGGTTTCTTCTGTCACCTTCCCTAGGAATGAGGTCAGGCTCAACCGTGGGCTCAGCCCCAAGGACCCAGTGGTCCACTCAACATGGGGATGTGCAGCTTGGAACTGAGGGAGAACATAGCCAGTGGGGATGTAGTGGCTTCCCTGACGCCACACCACCTAGTGAACTGCACCCACTATAGGAGCCTGGGTGCTTAAGTAGAGAGTTACAGAGGGTAAACACAACAATTCGGGGTACTTGGAAGGACTCCCCCCATCACAGGGCTCACCAGCTTCAACCAGGCCCACCAGGACCACAGCCAGCTATCAAGAGCAAACCTCTTATGACTGCTTGCAAAACAACACAGAGGAAGGGCACCAAGAAGGCAGAAGCCCTGTAGAGGCACCATCCTTTCTACCACCTACAACCTCACAAGCAAGAGGGGCACCAAGACACGCACAGAGCTCGCCCAACAGGGGAGGACAGGTCTAAAGACAGGCTTAGCGACCTGACAGCAAGGTGTGGAGGGACTGAATGCGAAGGAAGGGGCAGCCCCTGATGGCCAGCACAGCTCCAAAGCCCACACCAGCATGACAGAGCAGCGAGGATACGGGGGTTCCTCTTCACAACGCATCTCCAAACCATACCACATGAGTGCCACGGGATGACCTCACTGATGACATCCCACCTCACCAAAGCTTTGCTTGCATGCCATGCCAAATGCCATAACACGCCCATCAACACCAAGAACATGGCCTCAAATACTTCTACCTGAAAGCTGCCTTCAAGGCCAAGTAGACACGTTCTAAACAGAATGACACGAAATTGCAGAATTGCAGGAAGGAAAACACAACCACAACTAATTGCTTGCACGTATTTGACATGCACCAGCTGCTTGCACAAACATGCTGTCATGCACAAAGACTGTCTCAGGCCCCTCAGGCATTGCAGGACCAGCATAAAAGCCGGCCCAGAGCCTCTGTCCCTCACTCGCCTCTGCTGACGCCTTCTCCTGCGCGCTCAACTAGGTGAGCCTCAAGCCCCTTGCCCTCTGCTCCTGCCCCCCTGCCCCAGCTCTTCCAGCACGCTCTGCCCCAGCCTCAGCACCCCTCACGCCTCCCCAGCACCACAGCCCCACACCAGCCTCCCCACTGCCTCGCCCTCCTGCACCACCGCCCCTCGCACCCCCACGCCCTCCGCTCTCCCCACACCCTCTCTTCCATTCTCTCCTCTCCTCTCCTGTCCCCTGCCAGGGCCCCTCCACACCACAGACATGGCCTGCTACGACCTCTGCCGCCCCTGCGGACCCACCCCGCTGGCCAACAGCTGCAACGAGCCCTGTGTCAGGCAGTGCGAGGACTCCCGCGTCGTCATCCAGCCTCCCGCCGTGCTGGTCACCCTGCCAGGACCCATCCTCAGCTCCTTCCCCCAGAGCACCGCCGTCGGATCCTCCTCATCCGCTGCCGTGGGCAACGTCCTCAGCGCCCAGGGAGTGCCCGTCTCCTCTGGGGGCTTCGGCTACGGCCTTGGCTATGGCTTTGGAGGCTTGGGCTGCTACGGCAGAGGAAGAGGCTGCAACATCTGCTAAGGGCCTCTCACAAGATGCCTGAAACCACTCACGTACATTCTAGAAGCAAGGACACGGATTGAGAATGCACATCTGGGAGAATGCTAGGACATCCACACACCTTCCGCAGCTTTCTTTTACAGCACAAAGAAAGCAGGGAAGGGGACAGACCAGGCTGCCTGGTAACGTGGTCCTTGGATCTCTTCCTCTTCTTCAAGTGCCTTCTTTGCATCACCCTGTCAGCTATGTCCAGAAATGTGTGCTGAAAAATGCATCTCACTGGCTAAATTTCATTGGGGGACCTCCAGTGTGCTCCGCTCCAGCCAACTCAGGAAGACCTCAAAGCTCTGACAAAATCTGTTGCAAACAGAAGACCTCAGTTCGTGGGCGCCCTCCTTGCACCTGAGACAGCTCTCTTCCATGTTATGTTTGTTCTTTTTCACTCTTTTGCCTCAATAAAGTACTTCTGCATTCAAGCCTTTGATGCCTCCTCTGCTTTTATTCTACCATGGCTCTTTCAGCTTCACTCAGCACAAAGCCAGGGCTCAACAGGCCATCAGTGTGGGTGAAAAAGGCTACAAGGACTCTCCCGGGAAATATGCCACCACAACCAACAAAGACTGGCACCTGGGGTGCTTCCATAATGTGACACAAGCCCACCTCTGCCTCAAACTAATTCTTAAGCATAACAACACTCCCCTGAGCATTACGGTGATGTCTCTCCAGGCTCATGAGACTATTCATGTAGGGTTCCAGGGCCACCAACACAGGGACTCATGGCCCCATCCCCACATGCTACAAGGACCCCACATTATGTTTGTTCTTTTTCACTCTTTTGCCTCTATAAAGTTCTGCATACAGGTCTACGACACCTCCTCACCCTTTCTTCTACCAAATCTGTTCCAACTTCATGCAGCACAAAGGCAGGGCTTAACAGGATGTCAGTGTGGGTGAAAAAGGGCAGAAGGATTCTCCTGGGAAATATACCACCACAACCAACAAAGACCGGCACCTGGGGTGCTTTCACAAGGTGATAGAGGTTTGAGCCAGCGCTGGCTCAAAGACAGTCTTGAACATGGCAACACTCCCTTGTTCATGCCTCTGATGGAGTCACCACAGATTCATGAGACCTTTCCGGTGGAGTCCCAGGGCCACCCACACAGGACCTCATGGCCTGGTCCGCACTTGCTGAGATGACCACAGGTAACAAATACAGTGTGCCCAGGACACCACCCTCCTTGCTCTGAGATCCACCTCTGACCCAGGTGTGGGTCGATGTTGCATCTCAACCAGAAGGAAGTGCAGCAGGAGGGCCAGGAGACCTCCTTGGATGGATAAGGTGTTTCTGAGGAAAATGCAAATGAAAAAAGAGGCTTATAATAAGTGGAAGCAAGGACACATGGCATGGGAAGTGTACAGGGATGTTGCCCGGGAAGCTAGGGACCAGGTTAGGAAAGCTAAGGCCCAGTTAGAATTAAACTTAGCTAGAGGTATTAAAGATAACAGGAAGGGATTCTACAGGTATATAGCAAATAAAAAACAGACTAGGGAGAATGTAGGCCCGCTCAGGAAGCTCTCAGGAGAACTGGCTACACAGGATTTGGAGAAGGCTGAGGTTCTGAATGACTTCTTTACCTCAGTCTTCACTGGCAAAGGCTCTGACCAAACCACCCAAGTCTTGGAAGGCAGAGGCAGGGACTGTGAGAATGAAGACCTTGCGCCCACTGCAGGAGAGGAACTGGTTCAAAACCATCTTAAAAATATGAACGCACACAAGTCCATGGGTCCTGATGAGATTCATCTGCGGGTCCTGAAGAAGCTGGTGAAGAAGTTGCGAAGCCGCTGGCCATCATATTTGAGAAGTCATGGCAGTCAGGTGAAGTTCCCGATGACTGGAAAAAGGGAAATATACCCCCCATTTTCAAGAAGGGGAAAACAAATGACCTGGGGAAGTACAGACCAGTCAGTCTCACCTCTGTGCCTGGCAAAATCTTGGAGCAGATTCTCCTGGAAGGCATGCTAAGGCACATGAAAATCAACAAGGTGCTTGGTGACATCCAGCATGGCTTCACAAAGGGGAAATCCTGCCTGACCAATTTGGTGGCCTTTTAT